TTGGCTTTTTGGCAAGACGTGTTATTTCCTTACAATATTAATTGCACTATGTTATATATAGATGAGTGCCATATTTCTTGTTCACTGTAGAGTTTCTTAATATCAAGTTTCTCTCTTCATATCAAATCCATACCAAACATAGAAAATTAAAGCTCAAAAGTTTTGTGGTTCACCTACGAAATCCATTCCCAAATATAACATCTATTTTCACAAAACTACTATTTTCCTTTTAAAATAAATTAATGATTTAAGTTTTTACTATTATAGTATATATATCATCAGGAGTACTGGGGAATGTGCAAGAATGAACCTGTCGTGAAAGTATTCCAAACAAAACCGGAAAATGTAATGATAAGGATTGTCAAGCTGCATGTGAGAGGAAAGAAAAGACTGGGGCTGTTGCTGGTTTGTGCTTTGAAAGAGGCCTCCAAGGATATATGCAGTGTTCATGCTATACTCATTGCCGTTAGTTTCTTTTTTATTTACAAAAAAAAAACTTTAACCGTACTTCGAATAAGAGTTTTTATATGAAAATAATCAATATTCTATTTTGAAATTATAACATAATAGTTTATGTTAGTATCACTATAAATGATCAAATAAAGTAATATGTGTGCTTATGTTTCAGATGTATTTTTATGATATAAATAAATAATTAAATTATCATTGACAAATTTTTCATTATAGCATGTGTTTCATAATAGAAATCAAACAACGCATGGGAAAATACTCTTTTTTGTTGGTGACATCAAACTTAGGATCTAGTCTCGTCTACCTCCTCCCAAATTTTGGATTCTAATCGGTTTAGGTATTCAATTAAAATCTATCTCAATTCTTTTCAAGAGTCAAAACTACATTGACATTTACAGAAATGAAACGTATTAATGCATTCCCACATTCTTGAAAATAACATAAGAAATCAAGAACAAATATATGTTACTGAAAGAAGCAAACTGAATAATATGGTCTACAGCGAAATGCATAGAAATACACAATCACAATCGTTATTGAAATCAAGAATAATGTCGCATAGAAATACACAATCATAATCGTTATTGAAATCAAGAATAGACATTTAAACAATTGTCGTAGCTGACAGCCACAACTAATTCGACCGAACCACTAGACTCATTGCGCACTTCTTTACCACCAACGCCATAGCAATCTCGCTTGTTCTTCTTAGAGTCGGGAACCCATGAACAACACTAAAGCAAGTCTTCTCACATTTTCGTCTCTTCATCACTCTATGGATACTCTTCATCATCATTAGTATGTGCGGTGTGATGAAGAGACGACAATGTGAGAGGATTTGCTCTTGGTTTCATGATTCTTTGGATCAGTGAGAGTTTTGGCGTTTGAAGAGATGTGCGTAAACGCCTTTGCTGCGGCTGAAGTAGTTATGGCTGCAGCGAAGGAGCCAGTTTGTTAAAAAGAAAGGCTACAACTGCAATAATTCTGCACAAATTGGTCACTTTCATCTAGTAATTAAATGGTATGATTTAAAACAAAATTTATGCTTTATTAAAATGGGCAATTACAAAAATGTCACTTTTTGTGTCCACATTTGCAAGAATGCCATTTAGGGATGTTCATTTGTAAAAATACCACT